CAAAATTAATAAAAATATAACTTTTATCCGCCTGGATAAAAGGGTCCCTAGGTTCTATATATATAATTATATCCCAAAGGCGTCCCCTTGAGATGTAGGTTAATGATTAAATAGTGGTTACTTGCTAGAGGTAGCAAAGGTCTCCCTTTGACAGGTTTATTATTTAATTAAAGATTAATATTTTAAGGTAAAATATGTTATGTATTTTATTAGTGATAATAATATTATTATTACAAATGTGTTAGGGAAGTATTAATTATTAGATCAATAATTATAAGAATATTATGAACATGATGATTCTGACTTGGTCTAAAACCAAGTCTTTTTATACCTCTTAAGGTATTACAGATAACATGATTTTTACTCTATTTTATCCAATAAAATATGCTTATTAATGTAAAATAAATATTTGGGTCAACTGAGCATTGCAAATGTTAATTAATAATCTAAAGTAAATATTTGCATCAGCTGAATAAGCCCTTGAAATATAAATATAGAAATATGAATATGAGTAATTGTACACTCCCCTACAAAAAATTTCCAGACACTTGCAGATCATCAAAATATATGGTAAACGAAAAATAAAATAAAATAACTTTTTACTATATAATGATAATTTATGTAAATAAGTAAGCTTGTTTGAAATATCAAATTATATATTTATAACACTTTTTGTAAATTTTGGATGAAAATTGAATTTTACAGAATGATTTGAAAATTATTAAAAATTTCCAAATTTCAACGGAGAAATTCTACCCACCCAAAAATTAAAAACAAGTCTAAAACAAATTTATATAATTAATGAAAGTTTTTTCAGAAAGAGTCAAAATATTTAAATGTAAAAATTCAGGGTGTTCCGCTTAACACTTAAAAAATTATGCAATAAAACAGGAAAAAATTAGCAAAGCATCTTTGATTAGCATTTATTAAATAATAAAATAATTTATATAATAAAGTGAAATACATAAAAAGATTCTAAAAAATTAATACAGTGTAGGGTTTCCATGACTTTCAATAATGGCATTAACTCTTCTTGGCATACTTAGTACCAAATTTTCTATAACTCTTGGTTCAATATGAAGCCATTCTTCATTTAATACATCAATTAATTCTATTTTATTTTTAGGCAATGGTTTTCTTGCTCTAAGTTTTCTTTCTAAAACATCCCATAAATGCTCAATGGGATTCAAATCAGGGCTTTGTGCAGGCCAAGGAATAAATGATATTAGATTATCTTCCTTCCATTGAATTGTTTCTGTTGCTCTGTGAGACGGTGCATTATCATCTTGAAAGCAATATGTTGACTCATCCTCCAATTCATTTAAAAATGGTAGAAGATTATTATGAAATATTTCTCTATACTTCTGCCCATTGACTTTGCCATTTACTTCAACTAACGGACCAAGTCTATTGTGAATGAAGCACCCCCACATCATAACTCCTTTTCTACCTGATTTAACTGTTGGAATTAAACAATCAACATCATAACCTTCTTCAGGCCTACGCCAAACCCAATGATGAGAGTCATTCTGAAATATTTTGAACCTTGATTCATCACTCCAGATTATTGAATTCCATTCATCTAACCAATTTTTTCTTTCACGGCACCATGCCAAATGTTTTACACGATTTTTTTCACTTACTAGTGGTTTTCTTTTACCTACACGACCATAATATCCCATTTCATGAAGATAATTATGCACAGTTGAAGACTTACAGATAAACTAAGTGATTCATTGAATTTTTCTGTCACTTCTTCAAGGGATTGCTTCTGATCTTCTTTTAAAGTCTTAACAAGGTATCTAGTATTACGATCTGATAGAATGTGTTCTCTACCTGGCCTTGATTTTGCAGTTTCTTGACCTCCTTCTCTGTATTGAGATACTATATCATGTGCTGTTGATTTCGGGTGTCCAGTTATGTCTGCTATTTCTCTAAAACTTTTTCCTGCTTCCCATAAACCAACAATTCTTCCACGCTCAAAATCAGAAGTATCTTTTGACTTTGACATACTTTGAATTATATTTTAAATAGTTTGGATTATGGACCTAAAACAAAAAAAAAAAAATTGTTAAGAAATAGGTTTAAATAGTTGTGCCATTTAAAAAAAATCATGCAATAAAAATTATTATTTAACTAAAGAACTTATGATATCCGGATAACTACCTATGCTTGTTTGTAGACAGGTTTATTGTAAAAAATTGTACATACATATGCAGTATAACATCAAAAACAAGTTTTACTAAGAGTGCAATGAATGTTACAACATAAAAATTTAACATCACCTTATTACCAAAAACAAACGATTAAAATTTCTTCACTTTTCATGGAAAATTAAATTATGTGGCCAACTTTAGGCTTATTTTTTTGAAATTTATTTTTATTATAACTATATGATATTGGGAACAAGTCTACTTAATGCCACTAAGGCAGTTTCATTTTAAAAAAATACTTTATTTAGTTAACACTTTTTTCGTTTTATGTTACACAACGCTTGTATCTGGAAATTTTTTGTAGGGGAGTGTAGATCAACTCAAGATTTTGTGCAAATTAATTTAAAAAATTCTTTATTGCCTAATTATTAATATTAATATCATGTATTATTAACGTTTATTTTTTATCAAACTTTGTGTAACTAATAAAAATTTGGGGTTGTAGATCAACTCAAGATTTTGTGCAAATTAATTTAAAAAATTCTTTATTGCCCAATCACTCATTTTTTTACTAAAAAACATGACCTGATTTTTTCACCAGTTATAATCCTTATGATATAAATATATATTATGCAAAAATCTCAATTTTGGTCAGAGGTACCTTTTGCTAGAAAACCCCCCATATGAATACCAGGACATTGATTGTATAATTGGTAATAATTTTTGTCAATCAAATTTTGATTTTATTACAGGAAAAAGAAATTTGTTAATATTACACGTAAATTTATAAATGCACATGTTCGAATAATAATAAAATAAATAAATATTTTTATTACTATATGAAAAAGAAAAGGTTTCTTTATTCAAAATAAAGATATTAGATATTCATCAGGAAAATTTTTGGGACCCAATTTTACACAAAAATAAATTGTTAAAAGCATTACACACAAAAATAAATTTGTTAAAAGCATTACACACAAAAATTTTTTATCCCTCACTTTAAAAAAAATTTTTACTGTCTTTCATTTAGTAAACAACCTTCTCAACCATAATAAAACCTTCAAACCAGAGCTTTAACTTTATAACGACTATTGGAAGAAGAGGCTAGCTTAACTATTGGTTATTCTATGCCAGGTTAGAAATATTTCTTTTTCTTACACTTAGTTCAAGATTTTCTTCCAACTAGAATACAGAATAAGGCAGACTCAATGGCAACAGTTGTTCCAAAGTGTTCCCTACAAAGTCACTTATAACCACTTGGAAGGTTGTCTTGAAGAAATTTTAACTTTTGTTATAAGAAATTGAGATTTACAATTATTAATATGGTACATGGATTAAAGGTTAAGTAAAAATGAATCCAGATTTTATCATCTATTGATATGTAAAAATATATATTTTATATAACAAGGAATAATTAAATAAAGTCAACATCTTCATATTTGCTTCATCCTTTTCTGATATCATTATAATCTATCTTACAAGAATGAAATGTAAAAGAAAATTCAATATCTTTATAACAACCATACATATATTAATTTTAAAACAAATAATCTTATGGGTATAGAATTTAATCCTTGTTGAAATGAATATATCTTGCATTATGGGTTTCATCTTGCATCATGTCTTGAATGATCTTTTATGTATGATGTGTGCCATAAATCAATATCATAGTAATAAAATTATTTTCCTTCCAAGGATTTCTGTTTTTTGTTAGGTAACAATGCATCTTTCTTTTTCCAACATTCATTATTTTTCTTTCTTCTTGGTAAATTTCATAGGTAATCCTTTCTTTATCTAAATATGTTTGCAAGGATTTAGTATCTGCTAATTTAAAAATATAAGGTGCAATTTTTTCACCTTGTTCCTTCTTCAAAATACTTCTAATGGTGCTGTAATTCTTTGGTTCCATAGTAGATCTGATGTAAATTAACTTCATATTAACTATTTTTATATAGAGGTAATTCTATATATCACCTAATATTAAGGAGGAAGATTTTAATAATCACATTACTAAATTTTGAACCCTGAAATTCTGGTAATACCAATGTTCACTTTGTCTGGTTTTGTTGCAGCATGCCCCATATGAATTTGTGCATTAACTTTCATTTTTATTTTTTCCAGGCTTTTTGAGCAAATTAAGAATGAGATTAATTTGAAAAAAGTTGTACCTTCAGCAATTGCTAATGCAACAAGTAATCATGCAATCCATCAAGCAACTTTAAAAGAATTTTATACATCATCAATTAACATATGGAATAGAGACATATATAACAAAAGTTTATGTAATGTTATCCAAATTATCCTTTGGATTCATCTTGCACCTGAAAGAATGGCAAGATATCAAAAACATTCGACAGAGGAAAGCTAAGGAGAAACAATCAAAAAAGAAGTCACAGGGTCTATGTCAACATATCTTATGAATGAACTTGCATTTGCCATAATTAACAATCAATCAATATTTGTTGTACAAAAGATCATGAAAAAATTGAAACACTCATTAAATATGCCAACTGAGAGTCTAGATGTGTAAATCCAGAGTGAAATAGAACTAGATGAGTGTGATAGTGAAGGAGATGATATAGAAGATATAGAGGAAGTAGAATGAATTCTTTAGATTTTCATTTTGTGTTTCACTATCAGTTAATTGCTTACTTAGTTTTTCTATTTTTTTGCTCTTTTGACTTGATTCTTCCTCCAACTTTTCAACTCAGGCTTCTAGATGAGAAATCTTTGCACTAGCACTTTTGAGTTTCTTGTTTTTCTCTTTTATGTCTTCTGCCTGATTTTTGCTTCATTTTTCACCAACTGCTATGACTTCCTTAACTTGTTCCTGTTCTATATTTACTCTTTCTTCTAGCTCTTCTACCTCTGCCTCTAAATCTTTAATTCTTTCAACTTTACTTTCGATAATGTCTTTAAGAATTATATCCTTAGCTGGTCGACCAAAAATTTCACCTCCTTCTTCTATTTGAGAAAAAATATGAGCTCTTTGATTTCATAGTTTTCAATCTTTTTTCAATTCAGTGGCTAACTCAGTGTCTTCAAAGTAATCTATAATAATTCTCTCAACTACTTTTTCTAGATTTTCTTTACCTTCCCATTTATAGTTGTGCATAAGACTATGTTGAAAACAAACATTCATAAACTGATTTCTTAATGGTTTGCTAATCAATTTCCTTAAATCTTGTTCAATATTCTTACTACAATGAGGAAATCTATTTTTCATATCTACCAATATTTGGTGAATTTGGTCAATTGCTTCTTGCTTAAATTCAGCTTCTTGTTCACTTACTTCTCCTAGATTTTTTAATTCAGTAATTTCTTGTTCTTTATTGGATAATTGCTTTTTCAATGTTTCAATTTCGTTGATTAGTTCTTTATTTGCTTGTTGTTGTTCTTTTAGGATGTTTGTCATGATTTTCTTGATTGTTCCTTTTTTTATTTATTCTTTTAATATACTTATATCCTTAGGGTATGTTAAGTATATAATTATTTTAGTGCTTTTTTACTTTAAATATGGGAAAAGCTAACAATATTTGTCAAAAGATTAAACTTATTAAACTTAATGACAGTAAGAAGTCATAGAGGTGATTTTATTCTAAATATTCTATTCATTGCCAGTATATATTGGTCTTGGGCAAGTAATATCTTTGTATTCATCTTTCACAAATGGGCAAATATTCTGGTAAAGATATTCTTGCCTTTTGTAATCCAAAGGTGGTGGTGTTAATACTAAAATGGATAAAGCTCTAATTTCTTCTAAAATATCTGCTTTCTTAGTTTTCAGTAAGTTGAATTCAGCAAAAGGTCCATTAGCAATTTCCTGAGCTTTGACCACACCAAAATTAATTGCTTCAAAAAGAAAATGTTGATATTTCTGGATGCTTGATAATTTCTTAAAATAAATTCCCAAAATAGTGTCACCGATTAAATTTGGGAGCATATTTTAATTGGTGATAACAATTATTTTTGTTTTGCGTGGATAAGAATGAATAAGGGATCAATGAATTGATTTTGTTATTAGCAAATAATTTTGTTTAAAGAAGATAATAATTTAAATAAAATATTTATTTTATTTATTTAGTTTTCTTAGTCGAAACTAATTAACTTGTTATCAGGTTACTTTTACAGTAGGTCAAATTCAAGTTCTTTATATACATGTCAATTAATTATAAGCCCATTTGGGTTCTGGAGCCCATATGGGTGCATCATCACTAATTTCTTAACATGTTACAGATTAATTAATAAGAATAATAATAAAATGATTATATGAAACATAACACAGGTATAAACGATAATAAAATATAATGATTATGCAAGTTAATAAAAAAAATAAAAATAAATAAATGAAATAATAAATAAAAATAGAAATAGAATTAATTTGACCCAGAATTACGAGATTTGTCCAAAATATCTCATCAGAATCTAATTCTGGTAACAATAGCTTTAATATCTAAGTATTGAAAACCTTTTCCACCTTCATAACATTGAGCTTTATTCAATCCTGCTGGGCTATACTTTTTTATTACCTCAACCACATGATCTAGACAATCTACACTTGTTTTTCTATAAAGTTTTTTAATCAATCCAAAACTACCATCACATTTGAATTTGGTATGTCCAGCAATCATGAAATTTAATTCAATGCTTTCATAATAACCACAAATTACCAAATATAAATAAAACCAAATTGTTACATTGTTTTTAGCTACATTATTCTATAAAGAAGGCTGAAAATTAGTCAATTATGTAATAGACAAATGTGCAAAAAAATAAAATAATGTACCTTAGCAAATGAACCTATGCAGGTTTTTGTATCATCATCAATTGTTAGCTCACTTTTGACATTGGTAAATTCTATTTCCCTTATTTCTTCTTTAAAAAATAATCTAGAGACATTTGGATCAGATATATCAATTGTATATGAATGGACAATGCTATTTTCAATGTATTAGTAATGCAATACTTGAATGTTATTAAAACAAACAAAATAAAAGTAGAACTTACTCCTCAAATTCACATTCTAATGCATAATTATATATGATGTCTTATACACACCTCCCAGATTTTAACTTCCATTTCATACCATCCTCCATATTTTTGTAATTAATTTTGAATTGTTGTATTGATTCATTTGTCATCTTTAGACCTGTAAATGTCTGCTTCCTGTGCCAATATATCAACAAGTTTCCCTTTCCCCTCATCGCCCCATTGCGAGCCTAGAACAACAGTGAAACCTTCTTCTGAAAGGTTAGCAGTAGATAGCACACTCATAACAAAGTATTTTAAAATTTTAAAAAACAATTGTAATTGGGAATTTTTAAATTTTTTTTTTTACGGGTTATATTTATTGATTTGATTGGAGGTAATATTTTCCTAACCTACTATACCTAGTATAGAGTGATGGGCGTTTGACAATTTTTTTTCAAGATCAACATTATGGTGAAAATTTTCACAAATAAAGAGCCTTCAATATTGTGATTTTGACTTAGATTGATTAATGTTGAAAATGCAAATTTCAAGATAATTTTATAAAATGAATGGGATCCTTGTTACCAAAGCTAATAACTTGGACTTATATATGTATAAATAAGATTGGCGGAAATTTCTGGGAGGGTTTTCATTCTTGGCGACTCTTACCACGCCATCTCGGGGTGCACTAAACCCTTGATCTCCTTTTTTAGTATTTTAATGTACTCAAGGTGGCGTGGTAAGAGTTTTCTATTTTGGAGGTCTTTTCTAAACTAAATATCCAGCCAATCTTACCCTAGAGTGGTTGGACATATATAACTATCATAACATGTAGATCACATGTGAATCGTGTCACTGAAAAAATCCGCCCCGACTGTATTACGTCCCAAATTCAGGAAGCTCATTCTTGTTAAACCTGTCAATTTTAATTTTTGGGGATGATAGATCGACCATCTTGTTGATATTAAAAGTATATTTTTATTTATTTGTTGTCGTCAAAAAATCTTTTTTTCATAACATTCCAATGAACTGTATAACAATTACTTGCACGAAGACTGCCCATTTCTTGTCTAATAACACTCCACTTTGCACCATGTTGTTCAATAAGTTGAATAAGATTTTCTTCCTCTTCTCTTGTCCAAGGAATAACATTATTTTTCTTGAATGATTTTTTATCATTTGAATAATTAATTGCAGATCTCTTTGATGATGGTGATAATGATAACGATTTTTTTTTAGATTTTCCTTTATCATTTTTACCTTTATAAATATTATGATTGAAAACATTATTGGATTGCTGATGATCATCAGTTTTAAAGATTGGTAGTGGTTCGTCATCTCCTTCTTGTCTTTCTTCCTCCAAATCAATTATATATTTATCCTCCTTCTCTTTCTTTATATAATTTTCCTCGGCTTCTTTCTTCACCTCATTCATTTTGACTTCTTCTTGTTCCACTTCCACCATCACATTGTCATCTTCTTTAAATTGTTTTCTTTTATTAGAAATATTATTCATTCCATATAATCCTTCCTTTAATTCAAAAAAAATTGGTTTAATTTTTTGATTAAATCGATTAAATTGATTGGAAATTTAAATATTTACATTTTCTTCCTCTATCTTAATTATCGAATTCATTATCTCTAAATAAAATCTTGTTAAGAATAACAATAATAAAACTTTGTTTTTCCTTTATTACTTTATATATATAAATTAATAGTAAAACTACTATAAAATAACTATTTTTAATTTAAGAGGCTATGATTCAATTACTTCTTTTGCTGATGGATAGTTTGTTTGATTATTATTTTATCAATTAATTAAGATTGATATTTATCTTTTAAGGACTAATTAAAATTGCTTGTTACATGGGATTTTCTCCATTATCTATCTACAAAAAAAATCGTTTACTAAGAACTGAACAAACATATTATTAATTTTTATTTTAATTAATTATTATCTTGTCATTATTTTTCTATTAGTGTTTTCTAATTTATCCCATCGTTTATGTTAAATGCAAAATAAATAAAATGATCACTCGTCAATTGTTTAATGTTTCAAAAGTAAGTTATTTTTATTTATTTTCTTACTGTCAAAAAAAATTTTTTTATTTATTTATAAGTTTTATTGATTAAAACTTCTAGGTATTGTCTTTTTCACCCAAGAACAAATTACAATGTCGTAGCTATGCTCAAGTTATTTCTAATGAAATTAGTAAAAAAAAAGTGGCAATGTCAAATTTTGAACCTAATAGATATATTAATTATCAAAGAATGCAGGATCATTTAGCCATTGTTAAAAACCGGTACATACTAAAAAATTTCAATTAGTTAGCTAATTCCAATTTATAAATAATAACGACAACAACTATTATTATTATTACATAATATCGCATAGACTTAATCGACCATTGACACTTTCTGAAAAGATTCTTTACGGTCATTTGGAGGATCCACAAAATCAAGAAATAATTAGGGGAGAAAGTTATCTTAGATTACGACCAGATCGAGTTGCATGCCAAGATGCTACAGCACAAACAGTTCTTCTTTCATTTATGTCGGCAGGTATTCCGGAAGTAGCAGTCCCAACAACCGTTCATTGTGACCATTTGATCGAAGCACAGGTGGGGAGTGAAAAGGATTTGGCAAAAGCAATAGAAGACAATTCAGAAGTTTTTGATTTTATGGCTACGGCTTCATCAAAATATAACGTTGGATTTTGGAAACCAGGCTCTGGTATCATTCATCAAATTATTTTAGAAAATTATGCTTTTCCTGGTGGTGTAATAATTGGTACAGATTCTCATACACCAAATGCTGGTGGCTTGGGTATGATAGCTATTGGAGTTGGCGGAGCAGATGCTGTTGATGTTATAGCAGATATTCCATGGGAATTGAGATGTCCAAATGTTATTGGTATTAAACTAACTGGTAAAATAGGTGGTTGGACAACTCCTAAAGGTAAACAATGGACTTAAATATATACATTTGTTTATTAGTACGTGTTAAACTTTTAGTTTTCTTTAATTTTGCTTTTTTTTAAAAAAATTAATTATTATTATCAGATGTTATACTTAAGATAGCTGGTCTTTTAGGCGTGAGAGGAGGTACAGGAGCAATTGTAGAATATTTTGGGCCGGGCATTGAATCATTATCTTGTACTGGAATGGCAACTATATGTAATATGGGAGCAGAAATTGGAGCCACAACGTCAATTTTTCCGTTTAATAGACGTATGAGCGAATATCTTTGTGCCACTAAACGTAGTGAGATTGCATCATACGCAGAATCATTTGCTCATAATTTACGTGCAGATGAGGGTGCCAAATATGATCAAGTTATAGAGCTAAATTTATCAGAATTAGAACCTCACATAAACGGTCCATTTACACCAGATCTTGCCACCCCGCTCAGTAAATTTAAGGATGAAGTAGAAAAGAATAATTGGCCATCAGAGTTAAGCGTCGGATTGATCGGATCATGTACAAATTCGTCATATGAAGATATGTCAAGAGCAGCATCAATTGCTAAACAAGCACTTGATCGTGGAGTTAAAGCGAAATCAATCTTTACAATCACACCTGGATCTGAACAAATACGAGCCACGATTTCACGCGATGGACAAGAAGAAATATTCACAAAGGTAGGAGGTGTCGTGTTAGCAAATGCATGTGGACCGTGTATTGGACAATGGAAGCGACAAGACATTAAGAAGAAAGGAGAAAAGAATTCTATAATCTCATCATATAATAGAAATTTTACAGGAAGGAATGATGCCAATCCAGCCACACATGCGTTTATCACCTCGCCAGATATCGTAACAGCGATGGTTTTTGCAGGAAATCTCAAGTTCAATCCTGCAAAAGATAGTTTGATTGATGGTGATGGCAAAGTTTTTAGATTTCATGAGCCAAATGGAAATGATTTACCGCCCGGTGGGTATGATCCAGGAGTGGACACATATCAAGCACCAGCAACGGATCGTGAATCAGTTCAAGTGTTGATAGATCCTAATAGCAGGAGGATTCAATTATTACAACCATTTGCAAAATGGGATGGTAAGGATCCAGAAGAATTACCAATATTAATTAAAGTAAAAGGCAAATGTACAACGGATCATATTTCTATGGCAGGACCTTGGCTTAATCTTCGAGGTCATTTAGACAATATTTCTAACAATATGTTGATTGGAGCAGTTAATTCTGATAACAATAAAGTCAATTCAGTTAAAAATGTTTTTACTGGTGAATATGATGCTGTACCTAATGTAGCTAGATATTACAAATCCAAAGGTAATTTGTGTGTGCGTTAATACTTGTATGTATTTATATTAATTTCTATTTATTTTTTTTATTTTTTTTTAGGGATTTCATGGATTGTAATTGGAGATGAGAATTATGGAGAAGGATCAGCAAGGGAACATGCAGCACTTGAAGTTCGATATTTGGGAGGGGTAGCAGTAGTAGTTAAATCGTTTGCCAGAATTCATGAAACCAATTTGAAGAGGCAAGGAGTTTTACCACTTACGTTTTCAGATCCTTCAGATTATGATAAAATAGATCCAAGTGATAAAGTGTCAATTATAGGACTTACAGAACTCGCACCTAATAAACCTCTAACACTTAGAGTTTATAAAAAAAACAAATCGGAAGTAAATTTAACAGTTAATCATACATTTAATGAAAATCAAATTCAATGGTTCAAGGCAGGATCTGCTTTAAATCGTGTGGCAGAAACAAGAAAGGGCTTAAATTGAAAAAAAAATAAAAAATAAAAAACAACAAATCTTAATTGGATGAGATAATCTATGAAAATCAAAAATTCTTTATACACGTGAAATTTAATTTTGGATAAAAAAAAATAGGGAGTTTAAAAGAAATCTAACTAATCAAATTATATGTCCAAGCATAAAAAAATAACGGTTTATAATAACAACACAGTATACGGTATTTTAAACAAGGCATATATTGTGTATAATAATTGGCTAGAATCATAAGATTATACATAAATAACAATCAATATATATATTAATGGAAATCAAGTAATTTGTAAATGCATTACATGTGAATTATAATGGTATTTTGTATTATGGAAAATTGTAAATATTTAAAAATTAAAGGAACAAAATGGATATTTTAAACTCGAGTGACAAAAGTGTATATTTTAAGAAATTTTTTATTTATGCATGTGTGAATGAATGGGTTTTTGATATCACATGTAAATATCAATAAAAGATCTCCAATAAAAACAAACTATACCCGTGTAACATTCCAAATAGTTTTATTGGAAAGAATTGTTTATTTTACCCCACCTACAAACCTCGTAACGAAATTTGATTATTCATTCGGGAAAACCAAAATTTTTCATTCATATTATTAAAATGCATTCTCTCTCGCCCACAATTATATTTAAAAAAAAACTGCATAAATAAACAATTTGTTTGATTTGATAGATAATAATATATTTTATTAATAACGAAAAAAAATTACCAATCAACGGTGAAGCCTTTTCATATGAGAAACTTTAAAAAAAAAAAATAAACATAAATAAAACTTGTTTATTTTGACTGATTTTTTGAAATTTTTTCAGAGAATAATATCAAGGCGAATAATTGCCGTGAGAGTTCCTTATTATTATTAGTAACTTACGATTTGTTATAAAGTCGTATGATTTTTATTTACTATATATTAATATATTAAAAAAAATTTTAAGTCACGTGTAATAGATAGGACTGCTCGGTTAATTAGCAAATTTGATTGGTCAATTTGAGAGGTTGATTTATGAGGTGATTTGCAACGATTTTTAATACGTGAGAAATTAATGAAAAGTGATCCTCTCTCTCCCCCATTCCCACTTTCTAATATGATGATTTGTTGTACGATAAGAATTGAAGATTATTTCACAAATTATGTTATTAATCAATTGAATGTTAAGATTTAACACAATTCAGACTACTAGTTATTTTTAGCAACAACAATAAACAATAACAACAACAACAACAACAACAACGCCAATAAATTATAATTTCTTAACAAAAAATTTATTTTTTTCCAAAATTAAAAATTGCGCATCCAAATCAATCAATAATTAACTATTTGTTGAATTAATAAATAATAATAATAACAAATAATTATATAATTATTAATCAATGAGCCAAACAATAATTAAAATTTTCTTATCTAAAGAATTAATTGTTTATTGTTTAAATCCTTGATAAAAAAATTTTGTTTTTGCTGATTCAACCGATTGAGAAAACAAAAATATTTTTAAAAGCGAGAACGCAATTTTTTTTTCATTTGTTATCATAAAATCATATACTTGTATATATATATATGGTATATGTGGTGGTAAGGATTATATAACTATTTTAAAATAAAAACGGTTTTTTGCTTATTTTATCTTTTGGATTTAATCCATTATAGGATTATTATTATTATTTTTACTATTATACTATTTATTTTAATCGATAAGAGAATAGACAATAAATTTTTAGACGCGTGCTTTAAACCAAATATTAACAATAACAAATATTTTGATCGACGCTATCGATCGTTTATTATTGATTAAAGGAATAAAAATAAAATAACCAAATGACGCTATTTAATTACGATTTAAAGAAATGTGGTAAAATTATAAAAGGCAGAAGAGAAGAAGATATGCCTAATTATAAGGTTTCTTTCTTTTCCTAAATTTATTTTTATTTCTAGTAAAAAATTTTCATTAATTACCTACAAAAAGATTTTACATAAATAAAAAAAAACTTGTTAAATAAAGATACACAAAATGTGAAAAATAAAATAATTATTTGTTTAAAATCTACACAAATTAATTAATTATTAATATTACTTAATTCATTTACCTTTTTTGAATTATAGATTGCCAATAATTATATTTGATGATGATATATTGATAACAAAAATATAAAAAAAAAATTTTTATTTTCAAAAAAAAACCTGATGTTATTTTTTTTTTTTCAATTTTTGTTTTATATATATGTATATATAATTATTATGATTACAATTGATTGTTTTATAATATAAATAATGATTTATATTATATAATGAATGTAAACATATGTTATTCTCTAACCAATTGGATATACATTGTATGGCTAAAATTATTATATACTATCAGTAGTTATCAGTATTTCGCTCACAACAAAAACCCAGTTTTTCAAAATCTAATACAAATCTATCATCACACACACACTAGTCAAAATTTTTTTATATAAATTTTAAGTTTTTTTCGTAAAAAAAAAAAGAAAAATATAGATTTACTTCAAAAAAAAAAAAAAAATAAATAATAAATAACAAAAACATGTTATTTATTTATTTTACTAATTTACTTATTAATTTTTAATTCTTTAATTTTTTAATAAAATCTCCCAAAAAAGACATTTGATATTTTTTTTTATTTTTACTTTTTACAAAAGATAAAATTATTTTTCATAATCATATTTATCATTTCTCTTTCTTTTTTTTTTTTAAATATATCAATATTTTTCTTCTTTATTTATCATTAAAACTTGATTTAACGAATTATCTATTATTATTTATTTATCATTTAACGAATTATCTATTATCAATAAAATTTGTAAGTCAAATTCGATAAAAAAGCTTTTAATATTTTTTTTTTGAAATACTAATATATATTTTTTTTTATTCCTTCTCTCTCCACACATTAACCAGACCCTTAATATACATACTATTACCGAAAATCAATAACGAAAGCAACAAAAAAAAACAAAATGCCATACGCAGGACCAGCTGAAGACAAGTGGGCAACAATATCTTTAACTTTTAACAATAACAACAATAATAATAACAAGAGACAAACAAACATTTTGATAAATCATAATAAAATCAATGAAAATACTTCTTCCAGTTCTACCTCTACCGTTACAACTACCACGACTACCACATTCTCCACTACCATTAAAAATAACAATTCCAAAACCTTTCTTTTATCATCGTCTCTTCAAGACTACAACAGTAACAATATTACAATTTCTTCTTCATACAATGCTTCCAATATCGAAACCACTTCAAGACATAAATTTTCATCGTCTTTTCAACCAGAATTCTTAACAGCTTCTTCAAGACGTAAATCTGCTCCCGAGTTTTTAAAACCTTTACTAATCCCACAAAAAAATTTTCAACATGAAGATGATCAATTAATAATTATAAAAAAAAAAAATGGTGATATAGTTAAACCTTCCCTAAAGAAAAGATCAAAATCTGAGCCTAATACTCCAATACTACCAAAATATGTTCATTTCAACGCCGATCTAGAACAAATACGTCTATTCAGAGAAGCTCAAGAACCTCAAGCTGTCAGTGCTGATGTAACTTCTGACGAATCTGATGAAGATGACGATGATGATTTCGTTTTCTCGGACGATGACGACGACGATGGTTATTATAGAAATTTCATCGATCAAGAACCTGAACTAACCATCACCCTACCAAATATGCCTCCAATAACAACATTACATAGTTCCAAGCCTGTATATGTCGATTCTATATTCTTGTCAAGAAATAAAAATAAATTACAAGGTCGTATAATGGTGCAAAACATCGCTTTCCATAAACTGGTTGAAGTCAGATACACTTTTGATTTCTGGCAAACTGTATCAGAAGTTAAAGCTACCTATGCAGAAGGTGTAGCTGAAAAAGACAAAGATAGTTTCGATGTTTTTATATTCTCGATAGAATTATTCGACAATTCAAGAAATCCCATTGATGGAAAAACGATGTATTTTGCTGTGCATTATAATGTTAGTAATCGTGACTATTGGGATAACAATTCTGGTTCAAACTATCGAGTAAATTTCAAAAAAGTAAAGAAATCGTCGTCATCATCGCAGGGTAACCACCATTGTCATCAAAATAATAATATTAATAATCAAGGATCATTACCTATTGCTATTGCTACCAATTCATCATCATCAAGAAAATGGCCAATAATACCTTCAACACCAGTGAATCATCTTCCAAAAAAAAGTTTAAGTTATGACTGTCATTCGCCACCAAATTCTAACACTCGTACTTCAATAGCTGATTCAAGAAAAAATGGAGTTGCGGGCCGTTATGATATTGGAGTATCATTATCAGCAGCTCAAAATATCCCACGTTCATTCTCATCATTTAACAATAACAATAACGTTAATAATACTAATATTAGTAATAAAAACATCAATAAAATTAATAATAATTCAGCAACAACATTATCATCACCGATTTCTTCATTTACACGAACTAATTATTGTTATCAAACACCATACTTTCCAGCAATTTCATGTGATGCTTATAAATCATTTTCTTCAGGAAGTTGTTACATTGATGGTATGCCAGTCACAACAGAAACAGCGCCATTATCATCACCATCACTTCAATGGGAAGGTTCGCCTAAAAAATCATTTGGTGGGTTTCCATTAATGTCATCAAATCCAATAGCAATACCAACCACAAAATCTTCAAGTTCTTATTATGATCATTTTGTTTCACAATATTGTTTCTCATCTGGCTCACCTTGTGCAACCGCTGCTTTAGCCTCTTCGCCATATGCTAGCTCTCCACCAGTAATGTAGTTAGTTGCATATTTATATATATTATAGTGCAAAATCTATTAGTATTGTGATGATTCCTTTATTTTATTTTTAAATTAGCAAAAAATTCAAAATATTTTGAAAAAAAAAAAATATATATAATATAATATATATTATGTAAATTGAATTTATATATTATATATGTTATATATATATCGGGCCAATTTATATTTACAAAGCCCATATACATACATACATAATATACATATGGATATAATAGATATCAATAGTAATCGGAGAGTTATATATATAATGCTAATAATAGTGTTCTAGTTTCAAAAAAATTAAACTAAACGGACATCATCGAAATAATGTTTATCATTTCTAATTAGTCCAAAAAAAAAATTTTTAATAATAAAAGATTGCTTTTTCCTGGGAAAAAAAAAATAATAGTTTACAACTTCATCTCGCACACGTTTTTTTAACAATTACAAAATCACAATCACAATCACACATTTATCACATTATAATTTTTCTTCACTTTATATCACAATTTTTATATAAGGTTCATTCATTCATTCACTCATTATTCATTCATTCAATATTTCTTTTTGGACAATATTAATAAATGATTTTCACGTTTAAATAATCTTTATTTATAATAATAGATATAAACAACATTTTTATTTTGTAAATATATATATATATTCCTTTTATCTTAGCAATATTATAAATATGCAAGTATTATAACATTTTTAATTAATTAATAATTATTTATATATGATTAGAACTTTGTATTGTGTTAATTTGACAGATAAGATTTTTTGGAATACACATGCAAAAAAATTGTAGGAAGTTACGCGGGAAGATTTTGTAACAATTGTATATTGTGGTTCTTTGCATAAACAAATAAAAATATTTTTGTCAATAAAAACAAATATAAAAATAATAATAATAAAACTATATTAATATATTTATATTTATATTTATTATTAACGCACAAAATCAATCCGGTGACCTATTCCGGGATTAATTTAAGATTTATTATTATGTCTACAAAAAGGAATTTATAGTTTCACAAAAATGTATAATAAATTCTGTGATCGATCATGCCGGGAAAGGAAAAGAGAAGCAATAATAACATGCACGAGTTGATTTCGCCGTGTAATAATCTATACAAATTTGGATGCGCACATTATTTAAAAAAAATAATGCATATTTAATGTTTTTTAATAATCATTCTTCTCGTTTTCTTGTTTTATTAAATAATTATCCAATGTATTTATTTGCATTTTATTTCTCAAATTGTTTTTTATTAATTTCATTTGAGAAAATATTCTTTCTACATTGGAAAGAGGTATGAGATGGGTTATTCCGTGATAAAGGGAAAATCTTTGTTAAATCAGCAAAATATTTGTCACTAAAATAAAGTTTTAATTGATGATCCATGAATGAGGGAGATGTTGATCATTTATATAGTAATTTGTGAAGGAAATTTCATATAGACGAAAAATCTACAGGTGCTACAAAGTAAAGTTTTTTATTTTCTGATTAAAAATCAAAAAAAAAAGTGTCAATATATTCCTTGATGTTTACTCCATCTTATAAAATAAAGGGATATAAATTTGAGGCACAAAAGCATAATGCTATTTTCTTGTAAAAGATCATAAAGTAAAATTTTTTATTAGTAAAATCAGCGATCATTTAATATGAAATCTCCCTTTTACTATGTACGGACACACTCATTTATCAATTAATCTATTCGTTCATATAAAACCTCAGTAAGTTTATATCCCTCATTGATATTCTCATTTGGAGCAGATAATACAGAGTCCATGATTTGATGCAAACTACTCACTGGATTTTGAAAATAGTATCACATATGTTTAAAAATTAATTAATAATAAAAAAAAACAGAATTAAAAAATTATAATTATCAATTTTAAAATTTGTTGATTTTGAAAAATAACCATACAAATTTTTTAATATTTTTCAAAATATATAACCTCTTCTAAAGCATTTTTTTCCAGCTAGAAGGAAGTTTATGTGATATGCAATGGTTGAAGATATGAATGTGTTGATTTCTTTAAATCTTGTTGCAACACCACTTGTATTTATTAATTAAAATTCATAAAATCTTATTAAAATCTCCATCACTCCCGAAAAGAATTATGATATTTCATTTGAATCACAAAATAATATAATTTGATTAAAAATATTTTCATCATAGTCCAGATTAACCATCTCATAAATGGTATATTATTGGTGATATATTTCCTACTATTTGCTAAATATTTATCACCATTAACACTATTAGTTTTATCAATCATTATACTCCTTTAAAAGGGATTTACGTTATTATTATTTAATGACAGTGGCTGAAACTACCTTACTTTGTGGGCCCAATTGCCAAAATTAATTAGCCTAGACTTAATTTTAATAATAGCTGAAATTGGGCGAAATTATTTTTAAGTTTTTTGAAATAAATTGATTTAGATGTTTTGTTATTATAAAAATATTGGACTATCATAGTATTAGATGAAACTACCTTTTTTTCAAAATAGTTTCAGCCACCATTACTAAATAATATCAATTAAAAAATTTTAAATTTAAAAATATACAATTAGAAAACTTTTTCCAAAAATCCATTATTATCAAAGAAATCCGTTATAATAATAATAATAGCTAAAACTATAATAATGAAATTCTTATCAATATAAAACCTCAATCCATTAAATCGAGGCACACTAAATCGAGATTCACTGTGTAATATAAGCTTGATATTATAAAAAATTTTAGGAATCCGGTTTGATTCGAATCGAATTGAGTCACTCTAAATTTCAATTTTATTCGATTTGTTCGAAGCCTTGACTTGCATATCAATGAATGAGATTTTCTTTCCAACATCATAAACTTTTCTACTCCCAGAAACACCTGATAGACTTGATTTTCCTGCAATCTTCTTCTGTGTTGTGTGAGACCTAACAAGAAGAATAAGAAAAAATCAATATACACCTCTATTTTTTTTGTCGACAAATGCATGTTATACTGAGATAAAATCGTTATATTTTAAGAACTATTTGTTTTTTTCGAACAATTGATGAGAGCGATCTTAGCAAACAATAAACTATCACTTTTTCGATCAATTAATGAGAAAGATTTTAACAAACAATAACGAACTATTGCTTTTTTGATCAATTAATGTGAGGATCTTATTATCATTTTGATCGTGATAGCATGTTGATATTTAAAATATTCGTGTTATTGTGACTTTAAAGGACCATACCAGCTATTACTGGGATGCTAAATTGGAAAAGCATATATGTTTGTTTCAATATATATATACGAGGAAAAATCTTGTCATCTCAACTAACCTTTAACTCTTTAATAATTAGGATACCTTTAATTTGTTTCAAAATATCTATATTACTACTTTATAAATATCAAAATATTACTATAATCATTATCTCGATTATTTCACCTAATCTCATTTTTTCACTATTACCAACAATTGAAAAAAATGACTTCAATTTTTACTGCCTTCTGTTACATTCCAGTTGCAGTTCCACAGAGGTCTATCAATGGAAACTGCAGTGATAAGGGAAGCCAAACTTACAAAGATATTGTCTTCAAAGAGTGTAGATGCATTAGATTTTGGGATCCTGACAAAAAATTATTCATATGCCCAGTTTAAAAACCTAACAAACTTACCCAAGGGGTATGCTTGCAAGAAGGCTCTCTCTTGATCGATGACGAAAGTATTGAAGTGACGTTCCAAACCCTGACAAGTATAATTGTGCAAAAGGAAACGAAATTGATGACAAAGGTGCACCAAGGCGACGATTTCATTTCCAAAACGCGTTCGTTTTGACAGCTCTCAAAACTCAAGGCTTAACATAACGTTAGATGTTGATGAAATCATGTTTACGAGCCACTTCGCTGGATAAGTTGCACATCCTGGGCTTTGATCATTCCCTGAAGCAGCCTTAGAGGAGTATAAAGTATTAGAGGCTGTAAACTGCATCAATATAAATAATAATACCAATAACAATAATGAAAATCGTTATAAATAACAATACTAACAACAACAATCAATAATATATGAATTATGGCGCACGCAGATCATCAAATTGATAGTGGTATATATGTATATAAAAAGTTTCCCACCAGGGCGCAGCTAAAAATATACACAATGATAGTTGTGGGGAAGAAGACAAAATTAGTTAAAACATTAATATCACAAACCAAATGTCTTATTTGGGTAGGTTTTAACTAGTTTTACATGGTCAATGAAATGGAGTGCATTCACTTAATTATCCTATTCTATTATAAAAAAGAGTAGACTATGAATGACATCAAGCCAAAAGGGTATTTTTTATTTTTCTATTACATGTAATTTTTTTAAACGAATAAAAAATATCACAGCAAGATTCACGTCGTCGTTAAACCAAAAAAATGTATTTTCTTGGTGTCTTATACAATTATCATCATGGTTTTTGTTATTTTTACGATTGAAGGACGATTTGAATGAGAAGGGCAAAAAAAAGAGAATGCGCATTAAAAATAAGAAACTTATTTTATTATAAATTAAAAAGTAATTATATGCTAATGTAACAATTTATATATATAACAGAGAATAAAAATAATTTTTATTAAAAAAAACCAAAATATTCAACGTAAGATAGCATAATAGCAATTACCATCGACGGGTTTTTTTGTTTGTGTTTGCACTAGTACTTCATTATTATTTCCTCGTTTTCCAGCAACATTAAACGCCTTGTTTTTTTTTATCTGTTATACATGACAATTATTTATTATTAAAAAATAAAATGTTCAATTTAATCAATCATAAACAATTTAATTATTATTAAAAAGAATATATATAATATATACAAACATTTGCAGGCCTTTTCCTCGTGTTCTTATCTAATCCAGATTCGTCACTTTCTTCGGATTTTGATGCACCATAGATTCTTTTTCATAATCATTGCTACTCTGTATGTTGATATTTTTTTGTTAATTATGACCCCCAAAAATAATAT